ATAATAATATATACATATATATATATATATATGTGTGTGTGTGTATATATATATATATGTATACGTATATGTATATGGATAAAAAAAGAAAAAATCACTTGAATTATAATAAATTTTCTATACAATAAAAATACACTCTTTAAATCATGGAAAATATAATCTCAATAATGAATTAAAATATAATTGCTAAATAAAACCTTCAGATAGAAGGAAGAAGATATTAATTGTGCATATTACTCCGTTGTAAATTTATATCATGGGATATGCATGTTTGTGACCAAACAGTCTTTTAAAGTAGACCAAATATTAAACTCTTATACTCTATCACTGGATTCGACTACTTAGAATATATTTTTATACATATAATGTAAATAATAATAAAAATAATAATAATAATAATAATAATAATAATAATGCGATTAATTACTTTTTTATGAAAGATCACTTACATTTTCACAATGATTCTTTGGTGGGCCAGAAGTTCAGGTATTTGATATGGCATATATTAGCTTCTAACGGCTAGATTTTAATCCTGTCAATGAAAAAAAATTTTCAGTTGACGACATTATCAAATTTAAACGTATTGAAAATTTTCTTTCGCAGCGAGTAAAGGTAATTTTTCGATACTCTGTTTAAGATCAAAACTGTGTAGCCAATCTGAACTTGGTTTTGCCTTTACTCCGCAAAAACTAAAGTTGCAAAAATCCGCAGCATTCTGTAACGCCCCACGATGAAACGGATTGCCTTGTTTGAAATGCGTATAACGTCCAGCATTCATTCTTTCATTTGTGGTCATTCCAAGTACCATGATCTACAAAATATATCGAATAATATATAAATTATACGAAATAAATATAACTACGAGAAAGAAATTCAATTAATTAATATATATATTATATCATCGTACAAAATCATGATGGAAATTTTGACAAACCTGATAACATTGACAAGCTAATAACATTCCAACCCAAAAGGAATGAAGAGAGGTATTTACTGCGATCCACATAATCCAAGCATCGCAGGTAGCTGCAGCTACTAAATAATTATCTGCGCTATGACCATTCGTCAAATTAGTCCAACATTCAAACTGCCAGTATTGTACACTAGCAGATAAAATAACAATGCACAGACCTAATAACGATGCTAAAAAGCCTAGAAAATATTTATGATTGTGTGCTCCTGTAAATATATAAAAATATTAATAATAATTCTAACATAAAAGAATATACAGGGTGATTTACAATAAAGAGAACACCTAAATATCTCAGTTAGTTAACTTTCTATTAAAAATCTTCTAAAGACAAAGTTACACTACTTTAAAGGAACAAATGTAATGGTTTTTAGGAAATTTGAATTAATTATATAGCCTACGGGTGGTCAAATTGTTTGCTACAATGCATAATTGTATTCTTTTAACTAATTCTGTATGCACATTTTTTTTATTTTCTGTGATTTCACCGATTGTCATGTAGCTAAAATTCTTTTTTTAATATTCTCAAGTGTAGTTGGTATTCCTAATAAATTACATTGTTTAATTTACCACATAAATAAAAATCTAATAGGGTAAAGTCATGGGAACGAGCTGACTAGTCTACAGTATATTTCCTCCCTGTAATAATGCAACTATTTTCTTTGAAGTTTTTTAATATGATTTTAAATGAAGGAGATTATTTAGGTGATCAAATTTAGCTGCAACACCCCGTAGATGTATAATTGAATGGATTAATCCAAAATAATATTTACCGATACAATTATTAACCCAAGGACAATGATGATCAAATCTAGCGATACATCTATCGCATGTAGAACAATGCTTCGATCGTACAGGTCTCCTAACTAAACAACTGCTGCAAAACCATTGTGGTTCAAAACCACC